TGCTGCTGCTTGGACCAGCGATCCCTCGGGTCCGTCTGCCCCCACAAGAGCCCAAATTCCAGGCAATGCTGCTATTCTGGCATCACCGCCTATGATAATTTTGGCAGCAATGCACTGGCAAGCTGTACGGATTGAGGAAGCAGCTGCCAGCGACAAAAAAGGTAACAATTGAGTGTAGTTGAGTTATGAGAGTGCAGTTCATGTAGACAAGAGGCACGTAGAAGCAGAAACCGTAGATCGTCCGCTAGGTGCCGTTTGCCACGATGAAAAAATTGCCACGACAGATCGGCTGGTGCTCTGATGTGAAGCCTCAGCTGGAGATGCTTGAGGCGATCGGATGCTGGAGCAGTGCCAGCTGAGCTGTGCCGGAGCCCTACTCTGGGCGCTGTGCCAGAGTGTTCTCAGAGACGCGGGCGGTACAAGCAGGTACATGGCTCGAGTCCAGACTGCTTGTACCTCTGCAAGTCGTCGACGTCTTTAGGATCGCTTCCCCTGTCGCTTAGTGGGCGACCCCTGTCAATCGCTCGCTAATACACACCCCCTCCCGGTCCCCACTGCATTCAGCAGTCAAGACTTACTACTACTCCGCGATGAACCGCACTCTGCTCGTCAAAGAGACGGGAATAGATTCAAACCATGCGTTCTGGGACGCAAGGCTCTAAATGATCAACCAAAACATTCTACGCCAGTTTCGAAACCTCCAGTCCCAGAAACACCGAAGCTCTTCACCACTCGGCAACTCCCTCTTCCTCTCTCTTTCTCTCCCTCACCCTCGCTTGAACAGCTACGCCCCTGGCAGGGTTCAACACTCAATGTAATCACTTGTAAGGGCTACCTGGTAAGGCTGCCTTCGTACGCTTTTCCTTCTACGTCAACCGACTCACGTCTGACTGGCCAGCCCTTACCCAGGCCAGCAGACCAGTCTCGAAACGGCAGCAATGTCAACAAATGCCCGTTTCTGGTGCGCCTTTGTCCGTTGATACCCCATTTCTCACCTCATGCTCTCCCGCACGAGCCATTCACGCATCACCAGCCCAAAACACGCTCTGGCACGTGCGCCCATCAAACTCCTGCATCATCTCTTCTTTTCTCTTTTTTCTTTTTCCCACGCGCACCGCTCTTACATAACCACTTATACTATGTAAGCGCGCGTCTGTTTTTACATACACAGCAGAGGCTGAGCACTCAACGGCTCTACAAGGCCGCTCACCAAGTCTCAATATAACTCTGACTTTGATTTATTTATATTTACCTTTTAATATTCTTCTTAATTCTTCAAAATCTGACATAGATATATTCCGTAAATGGGGGTAAAAATCCCCGCAGCATCGCATTCCCCGCTGGTGACATTTCTCAATTTGCGAGATCGATGAGGTCAGACAGACAGCCCGCTGGCGAGGCCGCCAGACAGAGCGACGCTCCCATTTCCCTCGTTGCAGGTATCTCGCGTCCCAAACAGGGCATAAAAAAATCTAGCTCCTCGTGAGCCTTTGATGAGCACGCCAGATGACGTCCCCTTCTGCCCTACCACGCCCACACACACACACTTATACACTATTTATTAACCGAGTGGCTGCTGCTGTGTGGCCGTGTCCAACTAAGAAGCCGTGGTGGTGTGCCCAGCGTGAGCGAGCGTGTGGTGAGACGGGAGAGACTGGTTGCGCTATTTCCGTCGCCTTATTACATTATCCTCCCCCTGGGAACTGGCGCCAAACTGAGGCAGGCACCGTGACAGCGCAGGTGAGAGAGCAAGCCACCACCAGACTGCCGATGCAATGCACGGCAAAGCAGCCCACCCAAAGAGCAACCAAGGAACGCCGAAAAAGTCGAGTCGACATCTCAATGTCTGAAGTAGGTAGGTGGCTTTGCCGTCCAGCTACCAAATCGGCCTGCATGGGCGCCAGTTTCAGACGAGGCAAGAGTGCTGGTCAGCGGGCAGGCGGGCACGGGCAGAATGCAACCCTCGCCGCAGAAACCAACCCCTTCCAGAACAAAATCTCGTCGCAACGGCTTAATCAAAAGAAGAAAGGGAAAGGGGAAGAACAGGTCCCGGTCATGCAGGGCCGGCACTCGGAAAATTGGCTGCAACGGTGTCATGGGCCGGGGGGGGGGGGGGAGGACCAGCCCGGACGGACTTGCCGGCGAGCCCAGCCAGCCTTGTAAAAAAGGTCAGTGGCCGGCTTTGATTGTATTCGGCAGAGAGCGAGATTTCGGGAATGAGAGAAGAGGCGAAATGATGCCAGAGCGAGGTCTTTTCCGCCACTCATTGATAAAGCGCCGAGTGGTTTTGATGCGAGTGTCGCGTGAGCGAGAGGGACAGCTTTCCCGTAAGGCTGTGCAGCTCTCGCTTGGTGGGGGTGAGACGCTTGCAACCACCACGAACACTTTATGCAAGCCACGCGCGGAGATGCACACATTACATAAATCGCACGTGAGCACAGCCAGACGTCTGTTGGTGACACAAACCGACTCTATTACACATCGCACAGCACGTTTCTCCAGACCAAAAGATCCCTTCGTCTGCTTTCTCCATCATGCCTATGCCTCTTCAAGATAGCAACCTGCGGCGTTGTTGCCTCGCAGTGACACTGCTTATTTCGATCGTCACCTGAAAATAATCCCCAATCGGGAAGTCCAGCACTGCATTATGAGCGGTATAACGACCGCAATTTAATTAGGCTCATGATGAAACCACCCCGACATCGACTAACCGTGGCGGCTTTCCGAAGAAAAAATGTACGGAGGGGGAGACACCATGCGAGGGCCGATTAGACAAAAAGGGCAGCAGCGCGAACAGAGCACAACTTACCTAATCATCCACTTGTCTTATTGCTCACATGTAAGAAGAGCGGCCAGCAGCAAAGGGGAAATTTGATATGGGCCATCCCCGGTCGCAGCACATGGGGGGGCCATCTCAGCCAGATCCCATGTGAACAAGTAGTAATATCAATCGTGCATGTCGGCTCACTCCTGCATTGCATTTCGTGCACGCCCCCTCCTTCTTACCCCACAACCGGTCCAGCCAGACAGAAGGGGCGGGAGGCGTAGCCACATGGACACCAGCCAATGAGCGACCGTCTGCACCCTCTCCCTGTCCCCAGATCCCGGGAAGCTAATACTTTGGTGCCATGCATGGCAGCCACCGCTCTAGTCCGCATACGGTCTAGAGCAAGCGAGTTTCTGGTTGAGTAATACAACAATTCACCTTACAGAGATCTGCGCAAGGCAGGGGGCCCCCGTCCAGGCAGCTTGCCTTGCCTATACGCTGAGCAAGTGGCAGCAGCTCTCTGGCTGGCTGGGTCTGGTGTATTTTAAGACTGCGGCGGAGAAGCCCATCGTGCATTGGGCTGTGTTTTCCTGTGGTTCAGGACCAAACGACACATCCCGCGCGACACGTCCAAGCCTTTGCTTTCCAACATCGCAAATCTCAAAGTTTCAGACCATTTTCGCCTCACCGTGGGGTACAGCTGGGACCTTGTCCGTTGCTGTGCCTCCCGGCACCGAAGAGATGAGATGAACAGGCAAAACGCATCGACCAAGTTTTCGCCACTGGCCAATATGCGACATTAAATAATCTGCAAGGTTTGGGTTAAATTTTCTACATGGTTTTTCTTTTCGCGAAGGAGGCAAAACATAATGGCGGGAAATAATCAGCCGGTTCGTCTGCTTGGGCCGTTTTGGGGCCTGGGAGGTAAGCGAGGAAAGACCTGCCATTCAATGTGCTCTAGTGCTGAGGGCCCAAAACCCGCGATCCTTGGCGGTGAAGCTCGGTCTGGTGGGAAGATCGCTATTCCATTGAACTGGGTAATCAATCAAGCTTCCGGCCGCGAGATGCACCCTATCAAGCCCTGCACGTATGTAATGACGATGCCCCCGAGCACGGTGATCTAGTCCGCTTTCCGCACCCGTGCACACTTGACAAAGTGCCCCTAACAGCGTGAGGCCGTCATCAATGCAACAGGGAGTCCCATCAAGGCAATTGAGTTTCTGTAGTATAGCCCGAACCCATCACATAAACGCCCAAACGAGGCAAGATGATACGAAATACGTGATTCCCAGCCTAAAGCCTACTATCGTCAAGATTAGTGTTCAGCTCACCTTGCAGGGTCGCTACCCGATTACACCTACGAGCAAGACTCAGCCTCTCTCCCATGCATGCGTGCCAGTTCACACCACCAACTCTTCAATGCCCGCTTACAGGCTCCAGGCTTATCCTCAACAGTCGCCCTGCAGCATCGCTAGCAGCTAGCTCGCTGGAGTGCGGGGCTGGCTAGCGGGGGAAATACCAAACAAAGCTCCGTGACCAGTGTAGTTCTTTCTGCCTTGCCTATCGCGGGATATTTTTGCAAAATTCACACGTATCTCGTATAGTGGTGGACGAGAACTGCTCAGTTTCCCACTTAGCAGTTCATGGGATGTGGTCGGTGTGGGTGGGTAAGTTGTCGCTCCAGCTTAGTCAAGTCCTCTAGATACAGTGGTGTTTCATCATGCTGCCTTGACAGAGCGAGTGCCAACAATTGATCCGTCCAGTACCATAACGTCAGTGCCCAAGTGCATAACACTCAGCGCTATTCGCAAGCACTACCGATGATCAGCTGGGTGCAAAAGTTCCAATCATTCCCAAGCTCCATCACCCAGATCCTGTGCTAGATGCGTTCCAAGTATTAAGTCTATTGAAGGAATTGATCAGAGCCATAACGTCACAAAGGCAAGCGAATGAAGTGGTTTGTTTGTCAAGTAGAAAATTTCAATTGAATCTGTTCAAATCATGTCTCAAATTGTTTCATATCCCTTTTTCCCCTGTGCGCCAAAAATATCCAAAAATCCCAATGCTCAAATAGGTAGAAGAAGTAAATGGTTTAAGAATGTGTGGTAGAAGAAGAGAAGAAAATCTAAAAATCAAATACGCCAATCCATGCTATGTTGTTCGCTGATGACAAATGTGTGGTATCATATGCTCTAGAGAGAAAATGGTAAGGAAATGCTTCATCAAGAGATGATTACAGAACCATGTCCATGTCGGACCATCCACCAGTGGGGACTGAGTCAGGCTTGATTGGCTGGCTCCAGTCCCACTGAACGCTTCCCATGTCGACCTCGGTCATCATGGGCATCTGAGGAAGCCAGGCCTGCTGAAGGTCGACCATGCCAGCAAGGCTAAGGTCGTCAGCGTTGTGAATACCCAAAGCATTGGGGTTCATGGCGTTGTACATCAGATCGTTGGGGGCGGCAGTACCCATTGCGGGGTTGCTGCGCCATGCAGACTTCATCATGCTGTTGTCGACAAACATCTGGCCCATTCCAGCCTGGGGAGCCATGCCCTGAGCCTTGGGTGAGACGAAGACTGATTGAACATCGTTCTCAGGGGTGGGAGCGGTAGAGAAGTCGGAGCCAGCAGGAGACATGGAAGGAGCCTGGGACAGGGAAGGGGTCTCGCTGCAGGAAGAGCTTCGGGAAAGGCTGTGGGAGCGGGGAGAGCTAGTGCCGCGCATGGAAGCCTTGAGCTGCTTGCGAATAGCGCGGAGACCGCTTCGCTGATCAAGGAAGTCATCCTTGCTCATGGTGTAGAGACGGCTGGTCATCGAGTCCAGCTTAGGAGTGTAAGCCTGGATCGAAGGGAAGGTTCGGAGCAGAGCACCGGAAGCCTTCTGGGCATTGATCAGCTGCAGAGCACGGGAGCAGGTGTCAATGGCCAGGCCGAAAGCAGAGGGGAGAGCGGTCTTGAGGGAAGACTCGATCTCCTCCTGCTTGTTGTTGGAAGCATGAGCGAAGATCTGGAGAATCTCCTCGACTGAGTAGCAGAGACGCTCAACCACATCAGCCATGATGCTGTCCTCGGACTGAGCCGGGAAGAGGAACTGGATGGCCAGAGTGTGGTAGATGACAAGGACAAAGCTGGCAGCGGAAGCACCTTGGCCAGTCTTGTTGAGCTCGTTGATGCTCTCCATGAGGAAGCGGCTGGTGTCGCGGCACCTGTGGACTGGGCTAGCCATGGAGTGACCATGCTGCTGAGGGTGGAAGCCACAAGCGTTGGCGATGGAGATGGAAACATGGGCAAGGGCCCACATCTCACGAATGGAGGACTTCTGCTTCTGGAGAGTGTTGACATTCTCGGAAATGAGATCAAGCTGGATGGAAGAGGAAGTCTCCTCAGTGGCAGGGATCATGATGGTAGGGATGACAGTAGGAGAGACGGAGAAGTAACCCCGGCCAGTCTGGACGTAAGCCCAGAGGGTGAGAGAGTAGGTGGTCCAGTAGAGGTGGTCGATCAACTCCTTCTCGACGTCATAGACATCGATACCGTTGATGCGGCTGGAAAGCTGCATGCCATCCATGGTGATGACCTGCTCCTTGAGATCAGTGGCCAGGCGACCAGCAAGCTGGATGTAGGTAATGGCGCGGCGGAACTGAGAAGAGGTCAGGGCGTTCCATCCGAGAAGCATGAGAGCCTGGACTGTGGAGATGCCGCTGAAGATGCGGGTGGAGATGCCACTGTAGACGACAGTGCCAGAGTCGGTAGCGACTCCACTGTTCTTGGTGGTCTGCAGAGGACGCTGGCGAAGCTGGGAAGTGGCGTACTGGAGCAGGGCATGTCCACGAGCATTGGAAGCATCGCTTCCAATGGTGAAATTGGCATCGGCAAGCATGACGGCCAGGAGGATCTCATCGTGAGTACCGTCGCGGAGCTCGCGAAGGAGGAGAGTCTTGGAGACGAGGAAGGAAAGGGGGTGGGTGGAGTACCAGACGTCAATCAGCTGAGTCTGTTGCCTTTGGCCATACTCAGTTACTGGGTTTGTGGCAGGAACTACATTGTCAAACATGTTCTGGGTCTCGTCGGTGTCAAGGCCGGAGAGGAAGAAGCCAGCGTTCTCATCTTCCAAGTGAGCGCAGCCCAGAGAGCCAAGCTGGGAAGCGGAGAGACCAACAAGGTCGTGTGAGAGGAGGGAGAGGATGCTAGACTTCTTGAGGTGAGAAGCATCAGGTCGGCTCCGTGATCGAGGAGTGGCTCTGACTGTGTTTGCGTTGAAGCTCTGGAAGAAGGTGCGGTCGAGGACAGTAGCGACATCCTCAATCTCGTCGGCGAGGAAGGGCTCCTCGGTCATCTGGCCACCGAGAAGGGGGCTCTCGTGGAAAGATCCGCAGGTGGAAGAGCGGCCTCTGTTCAGGGCAGGGGATGCAGTTCCGTCCATGCTGGTGCGAGTCTTGGGTCGCGGGGGCTCAAAGTCGTAGATGCAGTCGGCGCCTTGTCTTCGGCAGGCCTCGCAGATGGTCTCATTGGAACACTTGATCTTGCGGGCGCGGCAGAAAGCGCAAGATCGCCTCAAACGGTGCTTGGTAGACATTGTGTGTGATTGTGTTGGGGCTGTGTGGGGATGAGGTTTGGATGTGATGCTCGAGAGCGTATCCAAGATGTTGTTGTGGAGGTTGGAGGTTGGTGATGATGAGAGGGAAGGTTGCCGATGATGGTGAGGACGCCCAGATATAAAGATGTCTGGAAATGAGAGCTGTGCACAGTTTCAAAGAGCAACCTAGCTCGATTGGAGAGTGTCAACAAGTCGACAGGATCTCAGGCCCTGACTTCTATTCTTGTGAGTGGGTTGATGGCAGTGGAGATGAAGAACATGGGCCTCGATGTAGGTCGGTGGGGCGTCTTTCCTGCAGTAGCGTGCAGAGTCAGTGCACGCCCACCTGAAGGAGGGGGTGCAGGCGAGGAAATTAGATGTACGGGGGGGTGCTGGGCCAGGGCGACCCTGGAAGGAGCGACTGAGTAATATTGCAGCGCACGCAGCGTTGAGTGCCCAAATACAGAAATAGCGGCAGGGATCAGGGGCCTCAAACGCTGCACGTTGAGGTAAGCCACGGTACGCTGGCAGGTACTTCGCCCAAATTCACGGCTTGTACCCTCGCGGTCGCCAGCTGAGGCCAGCCACCCGGCCACACCACACTGCACACGCTGGCTTCCAGGCGCGCGTCTGTTGGAGATCGTGCCCTTCAGCTTCGCCTCGCCGCTTTGGAGCCAGCCGTCACAGCGGAAGATCCTCTAGTAGTCAGAATCCTCCGGCCGCCATCAGTAAGGAGCGGTGATGTCAAGCGTGCCCCAGGCACTGACGTCCTGTTGTTCCCAAGGTAGGCTACCTATCTCACCAGCAACAGAGCGGTCACCAAAATTATCCCATATTCCTTGACTCTGCCTATGCACGGACGCGAACTGTGGGGTTTCTGCCTATCTCCAGCTCTAAATGTAAACTGGACTCGTTGCAAGGAGCTGATTGACTAAGCTTGACAGCTGGACTGCTGTCTGACTGCCGACTTATGAGGTATGCCCCCTGCCTGTTCTACATTTGGCTGCATCACTCGCACCAGTCTCAGCTCGCCTTGATGACAGCTCGTTAGTGCCAACAACGCTGGTGGCTTTCCCCGCTAAAGGATCCAGGATACCTGCTGTTGTGAAAGCTTAGACGAGGGACTGGCTGTGGTCGTTTCAAGGCATTACTGTGCATTGCAGTCGTTCGACAAGCTTTCCAAGAATAAACCCCCCATCCCCAATCCAGACCACACTATTATTCACCAGATGCTTGCAGCCCTACGATCGGTCTTGGTACTCTTGTAGAATCGCGAACTTGAACGGAGAATCTGTGCTGACTCCAGTTTTGATGCTGTTTTTGGCTGCCGAACGCTCCAAAATAACCCATATTGACCCTTGATGGTACACCAGGGCGTTTCTGTCCCTCGTGGTCATACACATATTGTTTCTTTTTTGGCCTGGTGCAATCTCGGTCTCCAGTAAACCTAATTCTACCCGGGGGAGATCTTCGTCCAACGAGCATTCCTTCGTTGCCAATCGATTCAGGATACTGAGGCTGAGAAAGGGGTTCTTGGCGTCGGTCGAGGTTTGGTGCCGTTTTTGGCAGCAGATATTATTAGCACTCGTAAATGCTCGTTTTATTGAGCCACAGCTGAGCAAACACCGGCTCGGGCCCAGAAGCCCGCATGTGCCCATCAGGTCTACCAGCCAGAGCAGTCGTACAGATCAGGTCCACGTGATATCAAAGAACGATACTCAATCATGAATGTTTCGATTTCTGCCAGCCATACATGGCATTGATGGTCGGAAGTCGTTGAGGGAGGTAGAGCTGTAGTTCCATGGAAGAAGGGTAGCCGGATAGAAACTACGTACTTTTCAGACGAGAGGCACTCTCAATCACAATGCCACGGCTGAATTCATGCGGTAGCACGTAGGTATGGCCATTGTAAAAGCTTCAACGCGATATATCAAGCTAGGTAGCTCTCAGATCTCGACCAGCATCAATTCTCCGTCCAAGAATCGCTCACACACCCCTCCCCTTCACTCGATCGCATCTCGATAGTTTTCCACGAGGCGGCAATATCCACAAGCTCGATCGGAGCTTAAATTCTGTGCAAGCACCCTGGAAAACCTGGGGAAGTTGATCGAGTGAAGTCGCGATGGTCCTGTCAGCTTCGTCCGTGCTGAGCTGCTGCTCCGTCCTGGTGCGCGGGCTTCCGCTCAGTAGCGAAGCCAGCCGGAGCCAGACAGGGCTCAATGTAAACAAATCCTTGTTAAAATAAAATCAAATGAAAACAACGAAATTATTATTTATACTGGCGTCTCCGTCGTCTCTTTCTGCTCGAGGTTCTCAGTCGTGGGTTGCGGCGCCATCATCGTGTTCCAGTATGGCCGGTGTGCCTAAGCCAACAACGGCGGGTGCTGCTATAAGAAGCCGGGGATTCCAGAAGGGAGGACCTGCAAAATGCTTCAATTGACGAGTCACGCCTGGGGATACACTTCACGGAGTGTATGGTCCAGAGACTAATACGCACAGGCTCCAATGATGTTACCAGCAGGTGCGGGCATCAGGCAGTCGACCAGACCTGCCACAGCAACTTCCTCGAATCACAATTTACGGCTTCTTCAACACACAATCGCTCTTGTGGAAGGACAAGCCGATGGCTCAATTATTCTTTCTCCTCCCGAACCGCTCACTCTCGCCATCCGTAACAACACAACACCATTCCGCGAGCAGCCAGACCGACCCGACATTCGTTACAATACATTATTAATTCACTTCGCGAAGTGATCGATATCGATACGACATATTTATTCATTTATCTTATTTCGACGGGCCCGATTAGGTAGAGAAGCGAAAATGCAGTTGTTGTCCCGCAACCAGGATCCCGTCTTCCCAGACATCATATTTCCACAGGCAAAGGAGCCTCTCCAAAACAGTACAATAATAGAGGAGGAAGATGGAAAAGATCCGGAAAAGACACCGACCGATGATTATGTGGGAATCCCGGATGGGGGAACTCGGGCCTGGGTTATCGTATTGGCTGGGTTTCTCTGTTTCTGCACGGGATTCGGTACCTCACCTCTCCATTGCTTTCAAGGAGCTCACAAACTAACAAGCCATCGATTCTAGGCATTGTCAACTCATGGGGCACTTTTCAAGAGCGTTACGAAGGTATGGCGGGAGAAGGGATTGGAGGGTGGACGCCAGAACGAGTCACCTGGATCGGCAACTTGCAGGTATGATTCACGTCATAAAAAACCTACAGCAACGGCTAATGCCAGGTTGAACAATCTTCCAGACCGGAATCCTCTTCAGCTCTGGGATCGCGATTGGTCCGGTGTCTGATAGATGGGGCGCGAGGCCTCTGATAATCATTGGATCAATCCTGGTTTTCGTCTCATGCATCGCCATGGCCAACTGCCGTGCCTGGTGGCAATTCCTGATCACTCAGGGCATCATGCTCAGCCTTAGAAATGCTCTCATGTGCGCATGCCACACCAATAGACGACATGGATATGGCTCTAGCTGACGGATCCCAGGTTTTATGCAACGGTCGGTGCCATTGCCGAATGGTTCGACAAGAAGCGCGGCGTTGCCTTGGGCCTGGCCGCTTCAGGCTCATCCGTAGGAGGCATATTCTGGCCAAGCATCATCAACGCCTTGTTCCAAAATGCCAGTCCTACCAGTCCTAGATGGGTCTATCGGGGAATGGGGTTAATATGCCTGCCTTTTCTACTTCTTTCGTGCGTCTTCATCAAAGGAAGAAAAGGTCTAGCTGGTCACGATACGCATGGGAGACTTACCGACCCAAGTTGTCGCAATCCGCGAAAAGCCATATTCCGGTGGGATTTTATTGCGTTCATCATGTCTGAGTTCCTTGTCCACCTCGGTTTCCTCATCCCGTTTGGCTTCATCCCCACCTACGCCACCAGTCATGGGATCGGTTTAGACGGAGCAAATGTCCTTCTCTCGATTTGCTACGGCGGCTCTGTATTCGGTCGCGTCCTGGCCGGCATGCTTGGTGACCGGTTCGGTAGGTTCAACATTTTGTCTCTGATCTGTTTCCTAACTGGTATGATGACACTGCTCTGGATCAAAATGACAACGTTTCCCACCATGGTTGCTTTCTCCCTACTCTATGGCCTGTTTTCTGGGGGCATCATGCCTCTAACTTCCACATGTGTGGCACAGATAACTCCCGACATGGGTTACCTTGGCCTCCGTATCGGCTTCATGATGGCGATTTTATCCATTACCCTGTTTATCAGCACCCCTATCTCTACACGCTTGCGTACTGTCTCTTCAGGGCCCGGTTCGGTCGAAGCAAGCGACAGGCCGTCTGGCTTCACGGCCCTCTTCATATTCTCGGGCATTACAACAATTCTAGGCGGAGTCTGTATCCTCTTCACTCGATTCAAATGGGGTTCCAAGGGAAACTTTGCTTTCTAAAAGACTACTTAATCCAGGCCCTGCATCACTAGATCAATCCCTCAACCCAACACCAGAAGTCAGACCGGAATCGATTGTATTCTTCTTCTCCGAAGCCCCCTTGACTCTTTGATCATTCCAGAGTCATCAAATGTAGTATCTTTATTGATTAGTCCTATGAGTAATATCAATCGGCACAACACTGCTGCAAGTTTATGGGACGCTTTGGCCTACTAGAAATCGAGTGAATTGAGTGTTGCAAGTCCATCGATGCCAACATCTCAATTTGTATAGAGATCCGTACCAAAGGATAATAGGACGCCGCTATACGCTACGAGCCAGACTAGGATTCTATTTCAATGCTGCCACGGTATTCCGAACGAAACCAAATCAAATCGATATAGGAAATCACTGGCCACGGACGGATAAAAAAACAATCACTCAAGTCTGCATGACATCCGCAGGCCAACACAACAACAGCTAACGCTTGAAACCGAGAATATCAATATAGTGCCTCATTACATGCATAAGAAGGATGCTAACAAACCAACTAATGAAAGAAGTCCCTATTCCTACTCTTTAATATTCTTTCATACTCTTTAGTTGTCAATGATGTTAACTACTCCTTGGCACGGCGGACCAGTCCAGCCCATCCAAACAGTCGATCACAATTGGGTTGTCATTCTCCATGTGACGCTCAAGGCCGCCCTTGAAGACGTTGCGCAGGAAGTGGATGCGATGATAAAAATGCCATGACTCGACGGGCGCATGGTACTGGTGGCCGATGGCATCACGCTTGCGCAGTTTGAATCGGTAGCCCAGCTCCTTGCCATCCTCGGCATTGGTGGCAGTGGAGTAGTATGGCCCGACCCCTCTGTCTAGCGAAGTGCCCACACTGCGTAGGCTCTCGCGAAGATCCCGGCGGTCTTTGCGTGATCTTGACTTGACCGAGACCTTTGTCAGGCCGTTGATCCGGCCGGCTATCCGCTGGGGATCATAGGGCAGCTGGAACGGTTCGCCTTCTTCTTGTTCGTGGGCGCGGGATGCCTCGAATATGAAGGCGATGCACTCGCTCGCGATCGTCTGTGTTTCGACGTCTGTGCTGTCAAGCTTCTCGACAAATGTGTCCATGGCATAGTCGGCATGCTGCCAGATGTCCACATGCGTCGCCGCAAAGGCCCAGCACTCAAAGGTGGCGACCATGACACCATCCTTGTCCAGGGCGTTGATCGAATCTCCATTACTCTGGACAATCTCCACCAGGAAATCCAAAAAGTCGAATACTTCATCCTTACTGGCGGCGTAGAACACCACTGTCAGACAAAGAGCGTATAGGGCGTGGATTTGGCACTCCTCGTCGTCGTCGTCGGACAGGATCTGCTTCAGGATGTTTCGTGTGGAGTCAACCCGATCCACGTCGGCGATTGTCGCTGTTAGGAAATAGGACTGCAGACTCAGGGATCTCTCCTTGGGTGTCGCCCCGCGATTTGCCCCTCTTAGAAATACACCAAACAGCTCGTCGACCTGACCATCAAAATTATCAAATTCGGCAGAGTACTGATTCCGCAGGGTCTTGACGTAGTGGTGTAGAAGAAGCTCTCTCGTGTCGGTCTGGTTGTTCTTGCGATCCTGCAGCTCCGAAACAAGCTTCTTCGGGTCAAAGGGAGTCAGGTCGAGTTCCTCGAGCGCAAGCAGCTGCGATCCACCGTCCGAGTCGCTGTCGTAGGTCACGGGAGGGGTCTCTGGGGGCGTGGCCTCGGACCCGGAGCGGTAGGAGGTCTCCTCGTGCTGGAAGACCTTCTGGAGAATATCAGAGCCTCCGGGTGAAGCTGTGCCAGAGGCTCGGCCGGATTTCCGCGCCTTTCGGGAGACGGTCTTCTCGCCCTTGAGGGCTTTGACGCGTGCTAAACTCATTATGAGATTGGATGTGATTTGAAGTTGGGGTATGCTCTAAATGCGTTGACTGGTTTTTTTTTAAAATGACGCTGGGTTGTGATGAGCGACGTCGGGTCAGAGGAATCAGCGTCAGCGCCTGAGGGCTTGCTTGGTGGCGATGTCTCAGCTAATTGGGCTGACCAATGCAGAATTCAGATTCAGGTACAAACGAGGCTGAGAAGCGCAATTTGTAAGGCGAACGTTAGGCGACAGCTGCAGCACCTGTTTCGCGCGTAAGTCTTTCAGGCGATAAGGTTGTCAAAGCAGAGCTTTTCGCTTAGATGCTACGTTGTCGGGTATGGTAGCAGATAGGTGTTATGGGTGAATGAATGGTTCAGCTCCATTGGGGGGACCTTGAACAAGAATCTGGGGAGAGTGGGAGTGGCGTTTGCTGGGCTGTCAAGGCGACGGCGTGGGGGGGCGAGGGATAATAACCGGTTGCCGTAGATAAGGAGGGAGCTGCGAGTAGACAACTTCGTGGTTTACGCAGGAGCAACATTTAAAAAAGAGCAAGTATGGAGTCAGAAGGGACAGGTTTTTGTGGGCTGACGGCAGTGGCGCAGGTCGCCTCGACCGTGTAAAGTGCGTGCCCAGTCGTGACGTCTTCCTCTGGGGCGCTGATGGGGCAAGCCCTCGCTTGCTTCCATAAGTGACCCAGACAAATGTCATCATAGTCGGGTTTCTGTGTTCCTTGGGGAACGCTGGTCTGGGGCGGCGCTACGTGAGGGATCAACAGTAAAATCTGTGCTTCTTGAGGTTTTGTGCTTTCTTGTATCACTCGTTTTCCCTTTGCCCTCGCTCTTTTTCTCGTGTTGGTTCTTGTGGGGGAAGATGTCAAGCCACACCCACACTCGAGGCTGCAGCATTCTACCCAGAAGGTGACACTGCACTTGAGGTACTTAAACATTAAGCTGTTTATTCTCAAGTCTGCGACCGGTATGATTAGATTATTGAGTCCTAATAGTATATAATACTGTATTTATTATTACTTTCTTCTATTTTTATACTACTGGAGTTCTCTATCTATTGCAGAAAGTAGTTGATTAACAACCAACTCTTCCATTGAGTCTCACTTCTCACGTCACCCGCTACCCTAGAGCTCTGTCTATCCGACATTGGGTTCGGCATGTCTCAAATGGTGGATAGTTCTCATTTTCGGTTAGATAAGTGTAATTGTTTTTGTGTCTGTTTATTGGGTTTTTATTGAGTTTTTTGTATCGTGTCTATCTTCATGACAGTATTGGCAAGTATCCTTTTGGGTGTCGTGCCCCTGGAACCTAAAGAGTCGACCAGCAGCAAGCTCTAACAACGCCGGATACCCACGACAGCAGAGTCTTCAACAAGGTATTGATATTCAAATTTGTGTCTAGGGATAAAACTCAAAAGATGAAACCATCTCACAAATAAAATATCGCAATGAAGAGCTAGAGCAAGCAAGCAAACAAACAAACAAACAAACAAACGAAACTTATCTCGACACTACCAAAGTTGCCGGTAGCGCCAAGGGGCCTTCCCCAGAACTGGCCCACTTGAGCTGGGATACCTTATGGACCCCTGGTCACATAGCGTCATCGTTTTGAGTTTCGTGAGCGGGACAGCACTTAACGCGTCTTGCCCGTGCATGGCAGATTAGATTTATGGGGGAGGGGTCGCAATCCAACATGCTCGATTTCCAACCGGAAGTCCTTTCTGTGGTGTACGATGTGAAGAACATGCGAGTTTATGCATTTATCTCAGTCAGCAATAGCGCTATTTCTGTAGCGTTTGTACTCCCCGAGACGCTCGTCTGAAAGAGGGGTTGTGCTCATCGCGTCACCTTCCGGTGGTCACAAGGCCATTTCGGCACCATCGGGCTGACGCAAGTGCATTTGGTTGGGCAGAACGCCTCTCTCTGCCTTCGGTTCCGTATTATCCCCAAAGCCAGTGTGCTAGCCTAAGGTACTTAACCCAACAGCGCATTGCGCGAGATTTCACTACGGTAAGGGCCCCTGGCCGGGCTCCGTCCACGTGTTGAGTTTCACCCACTCGTTATTGCTGCCACGATAGCACCTAATATTATTTGAATCAGCTTGTCACTGGTGCACAGGCTTAACCATCCAGTCACCGAGGGAGCGGGAACGATGCCTAAAGCCAGGGCCTGAAATGAGCCGGGATTGGTCCATCTGTTGCACCTTCGGCCAAAAGCCATGCTCTCGTGACATGCAAGTCCCCAATTGATGTCTTGAACCACTTTGGCTACCCTGTTAGCAGGTACCTGCTAAACTTTGAATCGTCGCTACTTGCTAGGTGCCAACCTACCTACCACAACATTTAAATTTAACATTGCAAGGCTGCAGGTAGCCGCGCTCAGGAATACGGGTTTTTCATGCTTCAAAAATTTATGATAACCAACCTGTTCCTGCCACGGCCTTCGTCGTTTTTTCTGCATCCCAAGAGCCATCTCGGAAGGCAAGACGGAAGGCAAGACGCTAGGCAACACCACAGGCAGGCAGCCGCCCACCCCCACTGATAAGTCCACTAAGTGAGGGGCTCCTTATCATCCCGTAGCTGCCTCTACTTGTTCTGGCAGGAACCCCCAGCAAGCTGCCCCACCTTGACCTTTGCCTCGTCTCAGCAGCCCTTCAGCTGTTTCGTTCTGTGCCACAGCTCGTGCTGTTCATTGTTCCCCTCTTCATCTTCGATGCTGGATCATTGTACTATCCATAGGTATATCGAGAATCCATTTCATCGCATCATGGAACCTCCCAAGTTCCGGGATCAAGGTATGTTGTGTTTATTCTAACCCCGGGAGCTGCTGCTTACAAGATCCATAGCACTGGTGATGCTTACCGTCACCAACGATACCCACGACCCTCACTTCCCCTACCGCAGCCTTACGCTCTCCGGAGACAAGGCGACAACTCCCATCGGACGGCAGAGCAGTCGGAGACGAGGGCTGGAGGCCGCCTCCGATAATTTTCTTTTCGATTGCCCGGTCATGTCTCGGGATCACGCAACAATCAAGCTCGATAACGACAAACAGGTTGGTCAAGCATTTGCCAAAAATCCACACTTTCTATTATGCTAACGGTAAGAATTAGGAGGTG